CCCCTGTTCCACAGGCACCTGGCCCTGTCCGTCATGCTGGAGGTCGCCCTCAACCAGGTGCCGCCGCTGGACGCCCAGCGACCACCGCGAACCTCCCCTCACACCCTTAATCCAAGCCCATCCCCCAGCATCTTAGCAGTAGTGCGCACCCATAGGGCGGACAGCACGACTTAGTTATTGATGGCCCCTTCCCCGTGGCAGGTGGATGCGTGGGGCGCGCAGGCCGGGCTGGTAGTGGCTGGGTACTACCATGCCAATGCAGCTCTGGACAACCAGAGGTGAGTGGGGTAGCCAGAGGCAGAAGGCTAAGGGTTATGCTGTGGGAGATCAAGAGAACACCTCTTGTCATTCCTTCCATCTTTCCTTGATCAGAGGCTTAGGAGCAGGGGCTGTGTACCAGGCACAGGCTGGGTACTGGAGGTGAGGAAATACGAAGAAATATAAAGGAGCTCTCTAGAGGAGCTGCCCTGGGGATGAGGAAGGTAACGGTGTAAAGAACAGGCTGACACCTACTTAACTGAGGTGCCCCCAAGTCCTTCTAGAACACAAAGGAAACCCAACCAGCAACTTTAAAAAAGGGAAGTTTCTTTTTTTATATATAGCAAGTTACCTACTTAGATAATAATCATATAGCTGGATCAAATTATACATATTGTATGCTTTTTCCTCCTTAATAAATTCATTTTCCCATCTCTATCCAAGTTCTACCTTATCCTAACAGCTGTATAGTTAGAATATGGATGCACCATGATTAATTTAATGCCTTACATTACACATTGAGGTTGTTTCCAATTTTTGTTTATAAACTGCCCTGTTATTATGTTAAGTTCTTTGTTAGTGTAATTTCTAGGTCAGCATATGTATACAGGTTAACTCTGGGTGGTTATGCCAAATAACCCTCCAAAAAACCACCTCTGATTGCCACTCTCACCAGCAGTGTCTGAGCACCTGTTTCCCACAGCACTCAAGCATCAAGTTGTTGTTTGTGAAGCATCAAGTGGGCCTTAACCCTCTCAGGCCAGCTACAGGAATGGGCCATCACTGCACCCACATCTACATGACCTGGGAGGTCCAGCTCAGATGGACTGGGTCTGCCTACAGCTCCTCATTTTCTGATCTTCCCTCTACACAGCCCTGGGCGCCTGGCCTTGAAAATGACTGAGCGGATTGTGGAATTCTTCCCTGATGCAGTACTTATTATGGTGAGGCTTGGGTGTCAGGAAGGGGAGTCGGAGAGAAAGTAGAAAGGGGGATCCTTGAAACTCTCACCTGTCCTTCCTTGTCCACACAGTTGGATAATCAGAAACTTGTACCTCAGCCTCATGTGCCCCCAGTCATCGTCCTGGAGAACCATGGTCTCTGTTGGGTCCCCAAGGACAAGAACTTGTGAGTGCCCCCCTCCCCCTCCACTTTTTGGTAGCCCAAAATGCCTGAGCTTTCTCTGTCCTTGATCCTGCCCCAAGAGTCCTTCTCTAGACCCTAACCTTTGCCAAATATCTGGCCCTACTGCTTGCTGAGTTTGATCTCGAAAGGGGTTATTATTTCAGAGTAATGTGGAGGGACTGGGAAGAGTCACGGCAGATGGTGGGAGCACTGTTGGAGGGCCGGGCTCACCAGCACCTTGTGGACTTTGACTGCCACCTTGATGACATCCGACAGGACTGGACCAACCAGCAGCTTAATACCCAAATCACCCAATGGGATGGTCCCACCAATGAGAATACCTGATCCATGCTGGGGTGGTTAGGATCCAATAAAGAGACTTGGGCTGATGGGCAATGGTATAACGTTATTTATTATGCCTGGGAGGCAAGATGAAGGAGGAACCTCAATAGGTGGAAAGTGGGAGAAAATCTGGATTCCCCTGTAAAGATAGGAAGGTCTCTACTGGACCCACCATGGAATGAGAAGAGCCTCTCAATAGATCATTCCCTTTGTTTCTCCCCTGGGCTTCTTGAGCTTCTCGAAATTCTTCAGGATGATGTCATATAACACAGCCTACAAGGTCAGGGAGGATTGGGGGTCAGCCACAGGCTCCACTGGCTCTATGCCCCATTACTAGCCTTTTGGAGAGGCTGAGCTCTGTCACCCTTTACCCCCAGCCTGCAGGGTCAGGGAGTAGCTGGCTTGGGAAAGCTACCTCTGCCCACCCCTGCCCTTGTCTCCTCACGTAAGCATTGCGGATCTCCATAACCATTAGCCGGATGTCCCGGTACTCGGCCTCATCCAGTTCATGCACCAGCTGCCGATAATCACCCTGCAGGAGACTCAGGTCAGGCCTGACTTCAAATAGATCCTTCCCCACTGTGCACCCTGACCTGGACCTCACCTACCACATGGGGCTGCTTGGCTGCTTTGGCCACGGCATCACCCCGCTCAGAGAAATACCTGTGGAAAATAGAAGGGTGTGGAGCCAGGAGGAGGAGGAGGAGGGAGCCAGACCTCTCTCCAGGCCAAAGGCAGAGTATTCGTGTGGATGCAGGTGGGCAGTCACTCACTTAGAGATTTGAGTGTGGAAGCCTTCCAGCTTGGTGTGAAGGCTGGTCATCAGCTCAAACACCTTCTCCTGGGGAAAGAATGCAAGAGGAAAAGTGGGAAACAGCATGGACTAGAGAGGTAAGGAAGGCAGAGAGGTGAGGCAGCACTCTTACCTGAACAGCCACTCCAAAATTGTTTCCATCCTCAATCCGAGGTATCTGCAGCTGCAACCAGGTGGTGACCTGGGAGGAGGGAATGGCATCAAAACTCTATCAGCCCCCAACCCAATTCCCAGGTTCCTATCCTCTGCTTCCCTGCCCACAATGGGTGGAGGTATGCCAGATCCATCCTGAGGCCTAGGGCCTGGAGTTCTGGCTTCATTTGCCGTGCCCTCTCCTGCTAAGACCTGGCAGGTGCTATGCCCTAACTGGCAGAGAGCAAGGAGGATGAAGGATTTGACCAGAAGCCTGCAGCTGGAAGTGGAAGAGCTCACCAGGTTGAGCTGCTCAATGACATCCTTGATCTCAGGCTTTAGGCGCTGCAGGAGGACCACGATCTTCTCATTACAGTTCACTGGGCCACAGGGAGGACCTAGGGAGAGAGCAACGGGTCAGTCACATGGTTGGGACTGTATGAGGAGCAGGGAAGAGGAATCCTTAGGGAGGAGCTTCTGGGAGATAAGACTCAAGTGCCTATCCACCCTAGTGGTACCTTTGTCTTCATCTTCCCCTTTCTTCTTTTCATCCTTATCTTCTTTCTGCGGGGAGACAGCAGCTCTAAGGTGTCAAGTGTAAGGCTGATTTCCCCCCGTGTTTAGGTCCCTCCTCCCAGCTCTTCCAGCTTGCCTCCTGCTGCTTCTTCCGCTTCTCCTTCTCTTTGTCCTTAACTGGATCAGGCACTGGAATGTCCAATGGGGCCTTCAGATTGTTCAGGTTGGCTTCATTGAGAGCTGGCTCCTGGTGCAGGGTGGGAGGAGGGCTGGAGGCAAGGGTGTCCCTCTCACCTCCTCACTCTTCATGGCCCCCCAGGCTCTCCCCCTGGCCTCTATGTTCTAGCTTCCTGCCCCAGCCCAGTACCTTTAAAAAGGCATCCAACTCAGAAATCTTCTTGGGGAAATAGCTCCCGAGCAGCTTCTCTGTCTGTGTGTGAGGTGAGGCTCAGAATCAAATTCCCTTCCTAGGCAGTGAAGCAGTTGCTGACACTGTCTAACGAGGGAGGGCTGAGCAGTGGGAGTTGGGTAAGAGTGAGATACTGATGGCGCAGATCTTACCTTGGCACACAGGTCTTCCCGGAACACATCCACCTGTGAGACACAGGAGCCCTTCAGCTATTGGGCTTTATGGCCAGTTTATGACGGCCGTTCCCTTAGGGTTCTGGGGATCCGGGGAAGGGTGAGGTGCATCCTGTGGGGTGGGGTTGGGGAGGGTGGAGTGGAACCCCATGCGGCTGGATTTGGGGGCTGAAAACATTCCTGGCGGCTAACAGCAAGTGGCTCAAGTGAGAACTGATGCCTCAAGTCTCCCGGGCTGCGTGAGGGGCTTAAGAGACCCTCTGCGACTGGGGCAAGGAAGGAGCCGCGGTGTGGAGCTGCCCAAGAAGTGGCAGGGCAGGTCCCGCACCCCGCGGTGTGTGGCCCCGGGCTCCGAGCCAGCAGACTTCCCCTCCACACCAGCTCTCCGCTTCACTGCACCCCGCTGAACCTCGGCCGCCGCCTCTCCCAGCAGGCAGACCTTGCCTGTATACCCCGGGCACCGTGGCTCACGTGGGCGCCTACTGACCCTCATTCCCGCCAGAGGCCGGGGGGCGGGTCACGGACTCCTTCAGCCTCTCGGAGCCACGCCTCCGTAATGGGCTCTTCCTCGAACCCGCAACTCTCACCTTGGCTTGGGCTTCAGGCTGGCCCCTGAGCGTGGCCATGGCCGGGACGAGGGGCCGAGCGCCGCACGACGAACGAGGAGGGGGCACGGGAAGGGAAAGCGAAAGCAGCGCTCGCTACCCACACGGCCTTCCTGGCTAGCGGGGAGTGGAGGTACTAGAGGAGGCGGGGACAGACCAGGGAAAGGAAAGGGCGAAGGGGTGAGAAGGTGACGCCGGCGGGGATCCCCCTAGAGCCCGAGAGGGGCGGTTCCTCGCGCCTCCGCCCCCGCCTCCCAGTCTCCCGAGCTCCTAACCTCTCCCAGCCTCTCTTTTCCCAGCCCGTCCCTCGATGCCCACCCCCAGCCTCCGCCCACCCCGCTTACCTTCCTCCGCTTTCTTTCCCCGCCTCGCCTCCCACGCTGGGCGTGCTGGCCTCCTGGTCTTCCGAATCCCGTAGGCCCACTACCCCGGCCGGTGTCCGCCTATGGACGCCCCGCCTCCCATTGCCCTGCTTCCGGACCGCCCACGGTTCTCTTCTTGCCCTGCTCTGCCTGGGACCGTGGTATTGTTAGGTAGGAAAATAGATATGAGAGGTAGGAGAAGATAAGATTTGGAGGGAAAGAACCGCCCAGTCCACGGCCAGTTGGAGAGGCCCCACTTGATGGAAAACAGAACTTGAAGAGGGACAAATTCTTTATCTGAAAAGTCCAGGGCTCGCTGGTGCAATCAGATCACCACGCAAGCGCAATTAGACAATAACTTGCCCCCACTTAACTGTTACTATAATCTCAGCATAAAATCTACATTGCCGTTTTATACCACCGTCACATTCTCTCCCCTTTTATGTGTGCACTCTGGGAAAATACACGGTGCACTAAGAGAAATGGGTATGACTAAAATTGTCAATCAAATTACCTCACCCTGTCATTCGAAGAGGCAAAGGGCGCCTTCTGACTAGGGCTTAATAAAAGAGACCATCCCCTAAAGAATCCGGGTCTTAGTTCTGACTCCAGCCCGCCGCTCTAGTGTACTAAAAATTTTACTTGGCTTCGCCATCATCTCTACTTTTCAATTCTTTGTCTCCTTGGGGACAAGAACTGAGGAGCAACGGTGAACCATGATAGTAAGCCTTGTCTGGCCCTCTTTCATTTTTTCTCAGCGGTGGAGCAAGATCTGGACTTCCTTCTCTAGCCCTGCCAGCATGGGACCCTGGCTTCACGGATGCATGGGCATCTTCTGGCCCATGCAGTGACGTTCAGATACTGGCACTACTCCAACCCAGGCTCCCGTCAGCTATCTCCTGATGCTTGTTTGGGACTCCACTCCTCTAATAATCCACTGTTCACAGAGCAGTGGGATCATGCCTCTCTCTTGCTTAAAACTCTTTCTCAGCATCTTGTTGACCTTAGAATGAAATTTAAAGGACTTTCCTGACCCATAGGGACTGCATGGCCTGTCTGGCACCTGTTTCCCTTCAACTTCACTTTCCATTGCTTTCGCCCTCTTTCATTACAATTGCAAATAATGGGCTTTCCTTTTGTTTCTTAAATCTGTCCGTGTCCTGCCTCAGGGCCTTCTACCTTGTTAATCCATTTGCCTGACACACCGTTACCCTGCCTAACTTGTCTGTCATTCCATTCTCAGTTCAGATGCCACCTTTTCTTGGAGAATTCTCTCCATCATCCTTTATAAAGTACCTTTCCCAAGTCTATTACAAAGCAGCCTGTTTTAGTACCTTCATAGTATTTATCTCTCTGATATTAGCCAGTTAATTTTTTTGAGGATAGTGTAGTTTACACCATGGGTTGGTAAACTTCTTCTGTAAAAGGGAAGACAATAAATAGTTCAGGCTTTGTGGGCTATACGGTGTCTGCAGCAGCTATTCAACTCTGCCTTTGCAGCAGGTAAACAGCTACACCTGAATGAACTAGCGTGGCTAGGTTCCAATAAAACTTTATTTGTGGACACTGGAATTTGAATTACATGTAATTTTCACATGACACAAAATACTATTACTTTGATGTTTTTCAATAATTAAAAATATAAAAACTATTCTTAGCTCTCAAGCTATACAAAAACTGGCCACAGGAGAGCTATAGCTTGATGATCCTTGGTTTAGAGCACAATGGACCCATATTGCCTGGGTCTGTAATCTTGGCTCTGATATTTACTAGCTGTGAACAAGTTACTTAACCTTTGTGCCTCAAGTTTTGCAACTGTACGATGAGAACACTATAAAAACTGCCTCATTACATTGTTATTGTGAGGGCTAAATGTGTTAATTTATATGAAGAATTTATAGACACTTAGAACTGTGCCTGTCACATAGCAACCACAATACAAATATTTGCTATTATTTGTGAGTGTATCATTTGCCTCCCCCAAACAGCAGAAACCTTGTCTTTCTTATTTAAAGGCATAGCATTATGATCAGCTCAATAAACAGCTGTGAAATAAATGAGCAGCACACTTACAACCCCCTCCTATGGGGAAGACAGGATAGGAAGGATCTCTGAGTAAGGTGCCTAGACAAACAGAACGCTGAGGAAGACGGAGGGGGTATTCAGTGGAGGAGGCAGGAAAAATCAACCCGGCTTGGAGATGGAGTACCTGGTCAGCAGGAATGCTGCCCAAACCTAAGGGCACTGTTACCTGCCTTGCAGTGCCATTCCTTGACATCAGAGCCCCAGATAGCTCAAAGCTCCAGATAGCTCAAAATCTGCAAGAACTAGGAGACTGAAAGGACAGCAGAAAGGATGGAGAACAGACATAAGGACAGTTAAGATCAATGACAGCAAGAAATGGCTGAGGAGCCCCAATGAACACAAGACTCTTCCCACCCTTCCCACACTTTCCAGGTCCCCCCAACCAAATGATGAGCAGACCCAGAGCAAGGCACGGTGTGCCTTTATTTCTCTCAGTTATGCTTGCGGCTGGCATGGGGGCGAGGGAAGAGCCCATGGCCCGGGCTCCCTGGAGACCAGGGCTGATGATACCAGCTGCCATAGGTGAGGTACCAAGCAAAGGTGCCTACTGCAGCGCCCACCACCTTGTGAGTATACTGGTGGAAATAGATAACTGTACAGAGCAGCAAGAAGTTCCAGAGGCCCAGCAGCAGCACATTGAGCAGGAAGACAAGGCGCAGCGGCGCACCAGCAGGCAGCCCATGGGCCAGGTACTTGGCGAACACTGCCGCTTCCTCAGCCATGAGCAGGCAGCAGAAGGTGAGCAGGAAGGTGTGGGAGGAGACTGTGTAGCCCCGCCACTGGTGGCCGGCCGCCAGGCAGCTGCGGCGGTCGGGCAGCTCGTGGAGCAGCAGGCCTTGGGGCAGAGGCTCGAAGCAGGAGCCGGTCAGGTCCTCAATGAGCAGGAAGGCGCGGCCGGCTCCCCGCCACACTGCTGCCCCGACTACCAGCCGGCTCAGGTGCCGGGCAGTCACTGCCACACGCCGTGTAGCCAAGAACACCACCAGCAACACGAAGCCCCCCAGGAAGGTGCATGTCCAGCCCCATGCCGAATTCACAAACTTTCTGTGGCAGAGAAGAGGGGAGGCTACTGAGACCCTTCAGCTCCAGCTCCCCACCCTGTTCTGTTTTCCCATCACTGCTCTGTGCCTGGTTCTGTTTCTGTGACCTCCACCCTTCAGCCCCATCCACTTAAACTTTGCCATGTCCTTAGAGGCCCATTTGGTCTTCTGGGGTCCATATTTCCTCTTCAGCCCTGCTCCTGACTTCCCCTGTACCCCATGACTCTGTCCCCTCCCCCTCCTGTGACTTTCTCCTCAACCTCCTAGCCAGCCTATTTTTAGTGTCTGGACTGGCAGGAGGACAGATGCCTGAAAGAGGAAGCTGGGATCCCAGAGTACAGGGAGCGGGTGCCCACGGCCTTGAGTGGACTCACATGTTGAAGAAGTTGCTGTGGCTGGCGAAGATAGTCCGAGGGTTGACATGGAACTGCAGAAGGGGCCCAAAGATGACCACTGCTGCCAACCAGGCGTGGTAGAGGCGCCGTAAGCAAGGGCTACCCAAGAGGTGGGCAGCCTGTTCACTTCCAAAATATAGCAAGGCAGAGGCCACCCAGAGCAGCACCTTGACCAGGCAGCCCAGCAGTACCTGGATTCCGGCTCCGGCACCCCGCCCTGCCCCCACCACCGGCCCCCGCTCCATGTTCCCTCCCCTTCCACTAACCGCTTGCTCTGCTGGGCAGCTGAGGAGGGGCTGATGGGGCCCCCTCGGGACAAGGATAGGCAGTGACAGGTGTGGTAGACACAGGGCAGAGCCCTGTTGGCAGCTGGCAGGCAGGGGAGAGGGGCGGGGGGCAGTAAGGGGCCAAGACGGAGGGGTGCCACGTCAGCAGGGTCCTAGTCTTGGTGTGTCCTGACAGTGGCCTGTGTCCTTTCCTGTTAGCTCTCTGTCCCTTTGACTCTCTAGGTATGTGTCGCCAGCTCCAACCATGTTCTAGTTCACGTCTCAGGGCCAGGCGCGCTGTTCTGGGTTGTCTTTGTCCAGAGTCTGCTTGGTCAGTCTATTTAGTCACCAGCACCATACCCCACCCCAAATTTACCATGTGTTTGCTCCATGGGGAAATTAGGGGTCATGAAGATTAAAACTGACCTAATCTTGGAAGACATTAAAAAAATCTCTCTGCCTCATCATCAGTGTGGTAAAGCCCCTCTTCTGAGTTATGAGCACAAGAGCCTCCCACTACAGGACGTAGCACAATGGCTGCACACAGCACTGTGTCCAACTCAGGCCCGGGGAGGCCTATCAGCAGGGGTACCCACTTTAGTGTGCTGTGACCTCAGGGGCGGTGCCCAGCCCCAGAGGTATCTGTCGGAGGGGCTCAGAGGGTTAATTTGTCACCAGGGCTGAAGTGTAATGGCAGTGGCTGTGAATGCATAAGACATCAGATCTAAAGGGGACCACTCTTTGGTATGTTTATTATGATGGCCAACAGATGAAAGAAAGTCAAGTGTCCTGAGGAAGGTGCACTGTATGAGATGGTGCAGCCTGGGTTAGACTCTCAGAGCCCCAAAGATTAAATTCTAGACACTGGGCAGGTGGGGCCAGAGAAGACTCTAGAAGGAAAACCCCCAGCCTGGGGTCCATCAAAACTTAAGATTGTGTTCTGCAACCAATTAATTACTTTGGGCCTTGGCCACATGAGACTTGACCTCACAGCTGGCCACTGGGGCTGGAGCCACAGGGCAGAGAGCAATATACCCACGGAAAGGTCCTGTTATGAGGTAACTGTTCTGAAATCCCTTTTTCTCTTCCTCATTCCTCAAAACTGGTAGTGGGATTTCAGAGCACAGTAGAGGCCCAAGAAGTAGTGAAAGGAATGATCAAGTATACCTAGGCACTGGGCCAACTGTATGACTTTGGGAAAATCAGCTAACTCATCTTGGTCCTCTGTGTCCTCATCCCTAAACAGATCAAGATGGATCAATCAGGCTCCTTCCAGAGCCTAAAGCCCACAACTCAGCACAGTTCCTGCTAATGGACTGTATACATGAAGACCTGCAGAACACCACATTAGGTTGACAAAAAAAAAAGCTATTTATATCACCCTTTTAAATATATTCCATGGATTTTAACAGTACGGTGATGACATATCTCATCATTATGCATTTAAAAATCATTTGACAGGATCTTAAAGTCAGAAATTAATTCCATTCTACTTCTCTCCCAGAATTTATCCTGTTTTTATGCTTTGAAGTCTTTTATTGATCACACTTTTCTGCCAAAAAAAAGTATATATAATTTTCAAATACTGCCTGTAACCCTAAGGCCCTAAAAGTTAAACTTTTTTCTTCTGAATTGAATTTTCAAAATTTTTAGTACAAAATGTATTACTAGTACAGCAAACGTCTCACACATTTTGATGATATTTAAAATTGTATTGGACATGCATCTCTTAATGTGAATGGTTGGTCCTTGGGGCCTTGATTAAATGAGGCTTTGAAGATACTAATAATTTTAATTTGCTTCTAACTTTGGTGCCCTGGGGATATGCAGGTTGTGGGTGAGATGGGTGGCATCCCTGGGGTGAGGTGGCAGAGGGGAATGAAAGGGGCCGATGGAAAAGGACATCTGGCATGATAGTCTCACATTAGGCAGATCAAGTTGGAGGCCAAACATTTAGACAATTTATTCTTTTAAAACTACCTGTTTCCCTGTGGAACACATACTCCTTTTACCCCTTGCTGTGTCTTTGAGAACCCTTGGAGGTGTGTATCCCAGTTTGAAAACTGCCTTAGTGATAATGAACTGTCATGAGGAAAGTTCTATCTGAGCTGGATGTGAACATGTGTCCCACTGACTGTACCATCAGTTTGCTCTAGGGCATGTTGCCTGACCACTGCTTGTCTCTACTTCCTCACCCACACAAAGGGTGGCTCTAAGGGTGATGAGGTCCCAAGTGTGGAGCACTCAGATGGTGCCTTGGCTTCAAAGCCCACCAGATTCTCTCTGGCTCCAGGTTATTTCTTCTTGTAGACCAGACCAGGTCCAGTGCCAGCCCCAGAGCACAGCTGATGCAGTGTTCTGGGCTCTAATCTAAAATGTGCTTATTTCCTGCTATCTCCATTCTGACTTCCTGGGAAGTTTCCAAGGTCAGTGAGGGAGTACCTGTTACAAAGCTGAGTAAACAACTGATTTTGGTATTTCCCTTCATCTTGGAGCATCCCAGGTATGTTTTCTCCCACAGAGGAGCATATCTGAAGGCTCTGTTAATACTATGTCCTGTAAGTAAGAGGAAAAAAGATCTCAGACAGACAAGGGAGAATGAGATGGAGACAAACACTGAGCCAGGTTCCCACAGAGAATTTATTAAGGGAGTGGAAGGACGGAGTCCTGCTCCAACATCTCTCCTTGAGGCTGGTGGTCTCCAGCATGAGGGAACTCTGGGAGGGGAGCACCTGCTCTGTGTGAGGTCACATGGAGTCTTTCACACCACAGCCTGTCCTACCCCAAAGACCCAGACATAGGAGAGAGAAGACATAATTCCCTCCCCAGGAGCTGCTGAGGACACACCTTAACCATCCCATCCTCCCCTAGAGGGGTAGGGCTCCAACCATCAGGACCTCTGCAAGAAAAGCCAGGACACTGATGCCTGGCCCTTTGAATGACCAGTCTGTCTAATCCTCAAAGTGAAGGCCTGGGCAATGGGTCTGACAACTCAGTTCAGACCTGGCCCCAGGCAGCTACTCTAGGAGCTAACACTTAACATCCAAATATGATTAAAAACACTCAGGGGAGCTCTCCTGCTGACAAAAGTCACACTCCAGACAAAGACAATCCTGCCAGGCTCTGGCCAGAGATAGAGATCCAAGCCAATAGGGTATGAGCACGTGAGACCACTCTGTCCCTGGGGAGGCTCTGCCAGGGCTCAGCCAGGGGTCTGAAGCCTGGGCTTTGGCTTCTCCCCATCCAATGCCAGTATTCCCCAAAGATCCCCCCAGGAGGGAGAAAGGGAGGCAGCGGATGGCTTGTCAAGAGGCTCACCATGTATGGGGCTGGAGGGCAGGTCTATTGGGGTGAGGAAAAGGTTGTAGAGGGGTTGGGCACCGGGGCAGGGATGCTGTGGTATTCCTTAGACTTCGGCATGTCATCCTGGAAGTACTCAGCCTGGCGGTACTGCCAAAGACGCAGGTTCCCATCCCACTGCAGGGCAGAAGATGGTAAGTAGTCAGGAGTGCTGCCCTCCCTGCCACCAGATCCAGGCTCTAGACACACACTGGGCCCCCAACCCTTGCAACCTCACCGAACTGCTAACAATCTTCTCTTCAAAGGGGTGCCAACTGACATCACGCACACAGGCCTTGTGGTTGGTGAGCTTCTTCACAATGTGACCACTGAGAAGGTCGTACACTGTCCAGGAAAAGCCAAGTGGAGAAAGGCTGCCAGAGGACCTCCTAGCCACCACTCACCTCTTCCCAAACAGCACCACTTCCCTGCCTTTCAGGCACCTTCCCACTTCCCTTGGGGAGCAAAGCCCATACCAGAGGATGGTGTTATTCTCAGTTTCTTTTCCCTTTTCCCTACCTCAGGTTGATCTAGCAGAGCTTGCATATTTCTGGCCCTTGGCTAAATTTGACAGAATCTGCAGTTAAGAGGATGCAATGTGGCTTTAAAGCTTTTAGCAGCCATTTTCTAAAAGGCCCACAAGAAATGGATGATCTGACCCTGCTATTCCTTATCTGGTTGGTGTTACACCTTTCTCTCCCTCTGGATGGGTCTCCATCTGAGTGTCTCCTGAAGTAGGGAACTGTCTTAGGTTCCTGTGTCTTCTTGTACATCCCTCCTGCTTCAGTGGCTGCATGTCCTTCACCACTAGCTGCTATCTTTTTGTGATGTTCTTTTGGTCTATTCCCTGCTACCTGTCATCTGCAATCTCTGTCCTTGACTGGCTAAAAAATAGAACTAAGTATATTTTTGGTAATCTATTATATTTACTGGCTAGAATCTATGTTCCTTTCTTAACTTAAAATTCTGATGAGTAAAATGCTTCCTATTTGTTTAAGCCTCTTCTGCTCCAAGCTAAATTAAATTTCACTTGTAGCCACCCCTGGCTTTTTTTTAAAGTGGTCACTGGTAGTTACAGGTAGAAGGCCAGCGAAACATTCCTGCACCTCCTGAAGCCCCCTGTTCTAACACATTCCTTACCAACCACCTTGCCAGTAGAGCAGCCACTGTAGATGAACTGCTGGCCGGTGCTATGGGTAGGTGAGAATCGGCAGCGGATGAGGGTGTGCAGCACCCCATGGCCCCGGTAGGTCATCAAGGAGCTGTCCCCTGGCAGCTTCAGCTTCCGCCAGGCTGGCCAAGAGTGCAGGGAGAGCCCTAGGTTAGGGAGTCTAGATTCTCCTGTATGACCAGTCTTTAGCAAAGACCAGTGCTCACACACAATTGCCTTACCAGTCCCCGCCTGAGGGCTCTTTCCCCACCTCCTAGTCAGCTGATATTCACTAGTATGGCTCTGTTGGTTATTAAGATACTGAAATACTTTTGTATTGGTTGGTTCTGAGTGATCCCAGCCCCCAACTCTGAGAAGCCCTGGCTCTCCCAATGGTTCAGCAAACAGTCGAAGCTTGGCAAAGAGTTGCTGAGGGGAGGCTCCAGGACTCAGCTCCAGGCTATCGCCACATCTACTATGCCCACGTCAGGCCTTATCA